AATCTACATTTGATAGTTTTTTTTTCTTTCTGTGAATATTGCCCAGTGCAGATCCACATTATTTTGAGGTACCTACTCTTTTATAAAGATTAATATATTGATGAATACTCAGTTAACTATGCACATCTATAATCTAGGTCTTTCTATCCTTTGCCAGCCTTCTTATATCTTCATGGTGCTTCAAGATTTCATCAAACCCTGAAACCCAATTTTTTTTTCATTTTTATTTATTTTTTAAATTTCTTTTCAGTGTTTCAGAATTCATTGTTTATTGCACCACACCCAGTGCTCCATGCCATACGTCCCCTCCACAATACCCACCACCAGGCTCACCCAACCTCTCACCCTCCTCCCCTCCAAAACACTCAGTTAGTTCCTCAGAGTCCACAGTCTTTCATGGTTTGTCTCCCTCTCCCAATTTCCCCCAACTTCCTTCTCTCCATCTCCCCATGTCCTCCGTGTTATTCCTTATGCTCCACAAATAAGCGAAACCATATGATAATTGACTCTCTCTGCTTGACTTATTTCACTCAGCATAATCTCTTCCAGTCCCGTCCATGTTGATACAAAAGTTGGGTATTCATCCTTTCTGATGGAGGCATAATACTCCATAGTGTATATGGACCACATCTTTATCCATTCATCCATTGAAAGGCATCTTAGTTCTTTCCATAGTTTGGCAACTATGGCCATTGCTGCTATGAACACTGGGGTACAGATGGCCCTTCTTTTCACTACATCTGTATCTTTGGGGTAAATACCCAGCAGTGCAATTGCAGGGTCATAGGGTAGCTCTATTTTTAATTTCCTAAGGAATCTCCACACTATTTTCCAAAGTGGCTGCACCAACTTGCATTCCTACCCGCCGTGAAGAGGATTCCCCTTTCTCCACATCCTCTCCAACACATGTTGTTTACTGTATTGTTAATTTTGGCCATTCTAACTAGTGTAAGGTGGTATCTCACTGTGTTTTTGATTTGAATCTCCCTGATGGCTAGTGATGATGAACATTTTTTCATGTGTCTGATAGCCGTTTGTATGCCTTCACTGGAGAAGTGTCTGTTCATGTTAGACAAAGGGTTGATATCCAAGATCTATAAAGAACTCCTCAAACTGAAACCTAATCTTTGTATTTATCATTAGGTTAGGATGGTAACTGCTAAACTTGAGCCCACCTGCCTGCCTTCTTAGTACTTTGTTTGACTTACTGGCTGAGATGCTTTCCTGCTTCTACTCACAGCCTCTGCTGGCCAAAGCAAGAACACTGAAAGCTCTGGGATTGTTAACAAATATAATAGCCTGTCTAGAAACCCAAGTAGAAGATAAGAGAGGATGAGACCTGGAACTTGCTCAAGTATCATACCATGTTCTTGTCTTCACTATGCAAATATATCATTGTAATTATACCTGAGCATTTTAAAGGCTCCTAAACTTAGAAAGTTGTGATAGGGAAACACAGTGCCCCCTTCACTCCCTCTGATAATTACTGCCATGATGAACACACATACTGATGGGAATGTGTTTTATCCCCTGGGTGTGTGCACCAGATAAAAGATTTTATAGAAGAAGATGTAATTTCTTCTTACTACTTTCCCATTGCTTATGAACACGAGTCTGTTGGCTGCCAATAAACTTTCATCTTGACAGAGCATATACTGTTACACAAGTGTGACATACAGTGGTTTAAGTAGGAGGCTACTTTTTTTTTTATCTCTCTCCTTTGCTTCCATATTTTTAGCATTGCAGCTTTTAGGGTTTTGCATAAAATCATTGTTATTAACACTTTAATACTTCAATGTATGTTTGTGAAACAGTGAGAGTAATCTGATAAAATCCAACTGACAAGTGAAAGTCAATCAGTACTAAGTGACAGCACAATGTATTTGGGGAATTTTTTTTTTTAGCGTAGCTGTTTGGACTTATGAGTCTATTAGAAGTAATTCCATTTTTAGAGAATGAATTGATAAAAAATAGTCCTCTTAAGAACAATCTGAGCATTATGCATTATGAATTAACATTATGAATTAACAATAATTCAGGAATACACTTAGATAAACCTACACTTTTATTAATAATAGCTAAAACAAATATACTTTACTTGAATTATATTTTTTGTGTCCTCTGAAAATAATTCAGAGTAAACCATAAAAATGTTTTTCATTTAGTTTCTCACAGAAATATTAACCATTTCTTTATATACGTGACTAATTTCAAGTTATTTGCTCAGCCTATTGGTTTCAAAAAGTTTTAAAGTTTTAAGCCTATTTCAGAATGCCCTTGTTTTACATAATGCAGTTTCATAGATAACCAAACCCATACACTATTGTAAAATTATAAGATAAATATACATCATATATGAGTTTATTTTTCTCAATTGTCCAGAGAGACTTGTTAAGCAAGAATTTAAATCACAGTGGCAAGTTTTAAGATTAAATACATTATTAATTTGAAAACTGCAATACTAGTAGTAAATTCCTTTTTCTTTATGATTTCTTAGGGAACAAGTTCGATTTAATGGCTTTGGGATTTTTCTCTTCGTTATTTATCCTGGAGCATTTGTTGATCTGTTCACTACTCATTTGCAACTTATATCACCAGTCCAGCAACTAAGGATATTCTGTGCAGGTAACAGACTTAACTTTCTTTATTCATATGTGTATCATTATAGAAAGTATTCACATCACAAATGAAAACATCTCACCTTTTGGTTGATAAATTCAGTTTATAAGATTCTTTTTTTTTTTTAATAATTTTTTTAAAATTTATTTATTTGATAGACAGAGATCACAAGCAGGCAGAGAGGCAGGCAGAGAGAGAGGAGGAAGCAGGCTCCTTGCCGAGCAGAGAGCCCGATGCAGGGCTCGATCCCAGGACCCTGAGATCATGACCTGAGCCGAAGGCAGCGGCTTAACCCACTGAGCCACCCAGGCGCCCCAGTTTATAAGATTCTTAATTAAAAGTAACAAAACAAGGGGCTCCAGGCTGACTCAGTCTGAGAAGCATGTGACTCTTGAGCTCAGGGTTGTGAGTTCGAGCCCCCTGTTGGGTACAGAGATTACTTAAATTTTATTTTTCTTAAGTAATAAAGCAAAATAATTTACATTCCAGTATCTTCAGAAACAACAATTTTTAAAAGGTTGAAAGTAAAATGAACAGGACATACCATACAAATGTGAACAGGAACTATATCTACATTAAGTTAGTTAGACATAGGGGGTGACTTAATAATCAAAAGGTGTGTAATCCACAGTGAAAATGTAATCATTGTGAACTCACTGCATCAAGTAACAAACCAGCAAAACAAAAATGAAAAAGGTGCAAGTGCAAGGAAAAAACAAAAATGTAATAAAGGAAGCTCATCTCATCTCTCAGTACATGGCAGAAAAGTATGAAAAGTCAGATCATCAAAACTCAAATTAGTAAAGTAAAATTCAATAAATATATCAAACTATATATCAACAGTTTCTTTTCAAGTGACCATGAAACATGAAAATTGGCAAATTTAATTCAAAACATAATTGCAGTATATTTAAAAATGATAATGACATAAGTTGTAAAGGTTTGCTGAAAGGAAAATTCACTGCCTTATGCAGTTATGAAATAAGAAATGAAAATAAGTCAGTTAAGCATTCAGCTGAAGAAGTAAGAAAAGAACTATAAAATAGTTAAGAAGCAATGTAATTAATAAGGATGTAGGTAGAAAATTATAAATTAGGAAAAAAAGAACTTAAGTCTAAGAGGCTTTTTGAAGAAAAAAAGGAGTAAACATGGTAAAAAGCAGTATAGACAGAATTTGCAGCCAGATTGGGGAATGATAACTGATACAGAAAAAATTAAAACAATTAGAAAATTGTTCTTTGTTCATCTCTGCAAAAAATTTTCTAAAACTTGGATAGTTATTTAAAAGTATAAATGGTGTAAACTCCAGAGAAGATAGAAAAAAAATCTAAATAGGCTAATTAATTACAACGGGAGAAGTTAAGAAAGTTGATGAAGAATAATTCTTTCCAGTCTTCAAGGAAAGTTGGCTTTTTGTTTAATTCCAATTCAGTATAAATTTTCCGTATCGCATGGAGAAGGAAATTTTTTTTTTTAAAAATTAGGCTAATAGAACACTGATACATCCTGTAAAGTACCAAAAACTACATAGGGTGTCTCTAAACAACACAAGTATGGTTCAACAATAGGAAATCTATTTGAAACTGTTAAGCTTTATTTACCATTAGGGGAAAAAAAATCCTCATCTCAGCAGATATCGGACTCGGTATTTAACAAAATTTACCATCCATTAATGGCTTAAAAAAAAAAAATTCCTTAGTAGAAATAAAAATAGCCGGATACTTCCTAATGACATAACACTAACACGTATTCCTATTAAAGGACAAGACAAGCAGTCCCATTATCGATTATCACTGATACTATGAAATGGGTCCCTAAATGTGGGTCAGTACAGTAAGAGCGAAGAAGCAAAAATAATGTAAGCCTTCTTTTCAGGTACTATTACATACTTTGGTGGGGGAAGGAAAAGGGAAAATCAACAGAAAAGAGAAAAATTCAGTGAAGAACCTGGTTACAGAATTAATAGTCAAAAAACAATAGCGAGGCGTTCGGAGTGGGGAGGGGAGGGTGACGTGTTCATGAGGACTGGAGCGTCCACGAGCGCGTGAGTGTGAACGTAAGCACGCGCTTGTTGAGGTAGTGGGAAGCGCATGCGCCTGGCGCTCCCAGAAGCACTCGCGTCTTCCTAGTCCTCAGCGGCTTCAGCGGAGTCCGCCGCGCTTCTTCCAGTCCTTCCGCGTCTTTCGAATCTTCAGCGGCTTCAGCAGAGTCCGCCGTGCGTCTTCCACTCTTTCCGCGTCTTCCGAATCTTCAGCGGCTGCAGGGGAGTTCCCCGCGCATCTTCCACTCCTGCCGCGTCTTCCGAGACTTCAGCGTCTTCGCGCTCAACCGCCCATATCTTGTCTGGCGCTTGCGCTTTCCTCTGGAGTGCTCGCTTTTCTGTCAGCCTTTAACACAGCCTTCCAGCCGCCCGCTCGCTGCCCCGGAACCAGAGCCTTCATGGAGCTCCCAGCCGTGGCTTCAAACGACACTCTCTACATCTCCACGGAAAGTTCAGAGTTACTTACAGATATTGTGGAGCTGCACCAGATCCATGTGGAGAGCGCCCCAGTAGAGACTGTCCCTGTGGCGTCCATCCCCATGGAGACCATCCCTGTGGAGACCATACCCGTGCTGGAGACCATTCCTTTCGAGACCATCCCTGTGGAGGCTATGGCGATGGAAACCATCGCAGAGTACGAGATTATCAGCGGCAATTGGGTCCACGGTGGCCACCACCATCCACCTCTGATCGCGCTGCAGCCACTCTTTACCAACACCCCGAACCAAGGGGACCACGACCAGGATATAATCATGGTGCAGACACAGGAGGAAGTGGTGGGCTACTACGAGTCAGACAACCTGCAGGCCCACAGCAGTTTCGAGGACCAGATGGTCCTTCCGGTTGATGAAGATGAATGCTTCCAGCAGACCCTGGCTTCCTTGTCTGCCTCCGCATCATCATCAACCCACACCCGCAGCAAGAAGCGCAGCAGCCAAAGCAAGAAGGCCAGCGGTAAGAAAAATTACACGACCAGTGAGCCGCGGGCGGGAAGTAGCAACTCCGAGATGGGCGCCAAGAAATGGGAGCAGAAGCAGGTGCAGATCAAAACTCTGGAGGGTGAGTTCTCTGTCACCATGTGGTCCCCGAGCGAGAAAAAAGACGATGAGACAGGACAGACAGAGAACTCAGCTCCTGATTATTCAGAGTACATGACCGGGAAGAAGCTTCCTCCCGAAGGATTACCTGGTATTGATCTCTCAGATCCTAAACAACTGGCAGAATTTACTAGAATGAAGCCAAGAAAACCCAAAGAAGATGCGCCAAGAACCATCGCTTGCCCTCATAAAGGCTGTGTGAAGATGTTCAAGGATAACTCTGCTATGCGGAAACATCTGCACACTCACGGTCCTCGAGTCCACGTATGTGCAGAATGTGGCAAAGCTTTTGTTGAGAGCTCAAAACTAAAACGACATCAACTGGTGCATACTGGAGAGAAGCCCTTCCAGTGCACATTTGAAGGCTGTGGAAAACGCTTTTCCCTGGATTTCAATTTGCGTACACATGTGCGAATCCATACCGGAGACAGGCCCTACGTGTGTCCCTTTGATGGCTGTAGTAAGAAGTTCGCTCAGTCAACTAACCTGAAATCTCATATCTTAACACATGCGAGGAATAAAAACAGCCAGTAAAAAGAGAAGACCCTTTTCAAACTTGGGAGGTGTCTTCTAGGAGTGTGATTGCAAATAAATATGCCTCTCTTGTGTATTGCTTCTAGGAAATAATTTTTTTAATGATTCCTACACATCTGAGGGTCATGTTTTGGTAGACTAGTAAAAGTGAAAGTAAAATTTTAAAAAAGTATTCCTTTATATAAGATACATGGTTAAGATGTTATATCTTGTTCTGTAATGCTATTTGAAATACATGGTGTTTTTGTAAAGTTTGGTCCCAATAGGAGGACAATTTGTGAATGTCATATCAAAAGACAGTTCTCTACACAGCTGTTCTAAAAATGGAACTTCTTTTCAGGGTTTTTTAAAATATGAAGCTCATGTATTGCTTGCAAGTTTTTAAAATTCTGTAGTTTCCAAATGTTCATATTTATACTTTTAGGAATATGTTTGGTAATTCTTTGTATGTTTTTTTCTGAAGATTGATAATGTTTTGCATGCAAAACAATGAACAATTACATATATAGTTTCCTGTTTAAAAAAAACATAGGTTTTGTTTGCTATCTTAATTTTGGTTGTAATCTTTGATGTTAACACAAAGCTAACTTTTAGCTGCACTGTTTTCCTTGGTCTTGAATTAGATGTGACTTAACAGTATTAGTCAATTTAAATCTATTTTAGTCATTTTATTTCCCCAAAATACTGCTGGGTGCTGCTGTTTAGTATAATTTCTTTGCATGTTCAATTAGAGAGTGGTGCGCAGTTGTAGAATATATTGTATATATATATTGACTTTTTAACACTTGATGTGTATATCTTGTGTAATAGAAAAAAACAAAAATAAAATACTTCTTCTGAAGAAGGAAAAAAAAAGTGCCTATATAAATACCATAGCTAGAAAACAGAGAAAATGGGGAGGGTGCTACTGGTATCGGGTGGGTAGAGGTTAGGGCTGTTGCTAAACATCCTACAGTGCACAAGATAGTTCCCCACATCGTAGAATGATGTGGCCTAAAATGCCACTGGTGTCACTGTCAAAAAACTCTGCTCTAGAAAAAGTAAAAGTTATAACAAAGCTTCCTTTGGTATACTTACAAACAAATCATTAATGGACAAGAGGTTGTTTAAATAAGGGAAATGTGTATGTTCTACCACCCTTATTGCCACTTAGCCATCATGGGCAAATCTGGAGTCTAGCGGGGTGATGTTATACCAGCTGCATCCCTGACAAGAGAAAAGAAACTGCCCAGAGATTCAGGAAAGCAGTGCTGCTCTGTGCCCCCCCCCCCATTTGGATGGGAAGATGTTAAGGTCTATGCTATGGTTGTGTGGTGGAATTATCCTGATAAGGGAGAAATAGTGAGAGTGTAACTCTCATGACAGTCTGCCCGTGGACTGTCATCCTGAGGAGTTGGGGGAAAGCTGGATTTAACACGTGTTAACAGTGGCAAATTAATCAGTGTTGGGGATGGATTATTTTGTGAAATTGTACTGGGACTAGCAATTTGAGGGGGGAGAGTATAACTGTATGCCTAAATTAGTTTCACTAGAGTAGATTCCAGTGGGCAAAAAAAAAGTTTTTTTTTAATTTTGTTTTTTAAACGAAGCTATGAAAGCAGTATAAGAAAACACCAGGTGAGTATCCTTATAATCTTGAACTGGGAAAGGCTTAACACAAAGGAGCAATTTGACCACACCAAAATGTAAAATGTCTGCATAGGCAAAACTATAAACCAAGCCAAAAAACAAACTGGAAGAAAAATTGTAATACCTCTTACAAAGGATCAAATTCAGGGGCGCTGGGTGGCTTGGCTGGATAAGGATCTGCCTTACTCTCTCACTATCTCTGTCTCTCTCAAATAAAGTCTTAAAAAGGACCAAATTCTTCAATATATACACTCAGGAATAATATATACAAATTAGTAAAAAAATGTATATATAAACAGGTGAGGGATAGAAATAGTTCTCAACAGAAATACAAATAGTCCTTTAATAAACATGGAAAATGTATAAGCTTAAACAAATCACAACAGATTTTACTTCTAACATAGCAGATGACAAAATCTAACATCATAGCATCCAGTGTTACAGGGTAAGGAAACCTATGCCAATTATGAGAACATTAATGCAGACTCATTGGAGATCAATTGTTTTTTAAGATTTTATTTATTGGGGCGCCTGGGTGGCTCAGTGGGTTAAAGCCTCTGCCTTCGGCTCAGGTCACGATCCCAGGGTCCTGGGATCGAGCCCCACATCGGGCTCTCTGCTCAGCAGGGAGCCTGCTTCCCTCTCCCTCTCTGCCTGTCTCTGCCTACTTGTGATCTCTGTCTGTCAAACAAATAAAATCTTTAAAAAAAAAGATTAAGAGAGAGAGAGAGCACAAGCAGGGAGGAGAGGAAGAAGCAAGCTCTCCACTGACCAGGGAGCCCATTGTGGGGCTTGTTCCCAGGACTCTGGGATCAGGACCTGAGCTGAAGGTGCTCAACTGACTGAGCCACCCAGGCAGCCCTGGAGGTCAATTTCAGTGCACATTTTTTGACCCAGCAATTCCATTTCTGTGTAACTTTCCAAACCCCACAGATGCATACTTAGATACATAACAATATGAACAAAGCTATTTGTTGCAGCATTGTATAAAAATGTTAAAACAACCTAAGTGATCTTTAGTAGGGAACCTTATAAATAAGTCAGTATGTTTTTTTTTTAACATGGATTACTCTGTAATGGATATAAGAACTGGGCATTCTGATAAATTAGTAAAATAATGGATATAAGAAAATAAAGTAGTGGATTTAAGAAATGGGCTAGATATGAATATGCAGCTGAGGGGAAAGTCCAAAGTACATACATGGAAAAGCAAAACATAGTTTCCAATAAATAGTTTGATACCATTGATGAATTTAAAAGATTTCTCTCTGTATAGAACAGAAAAGATTGTTTACCCATTGTGTCCTGGACTAGAATTACTCTGGATATTTCTGGAATTAAGCAACTTATAACACTCAAAAAAAAAAGTGGAAGAACATCTTAACAGTGTGAATAAGGTACATGAAACATGTCTTAGCCAGTGTTTGACTACTACAATAGCTAAAAATAACAATGGCTTGAACTCTCATAAAACTTACCAAATGTAGGTAGTTCAGCACTGATATGTTAATTCTGTTATTTGGAGGACTCGGGCCCTTTCTATCTTGTTAGCTCTACTATTCCCAACACGCAGCTTCTACGTCATGGACTCAGGTTTATCTCCATCATAGCTCCAATGTAGCTATAGTGCTGTCCCCATCACCTCCACTTATATCCTGTTAGCCAAAGTGGTATATGGCCATACTCAGCTTTCTGTGAGTATAGGAAATGACTTGAGGTTACATCTCTGTCATTATAAAACATTGATTCTCAACCGCTGGTGCTGTTTCCCTCCTGGAGATGTTTGGAATGTGTGGGGCATAGGGTGCATTCTTTGGTTGCCTCAGTGAGGAGAGACTAGTAATGGCATTTAGTGGATGGGAGCCAAAAATGCTAAATATCCTGTAATGCAAGGGACAGACTTGTACAAAGAATTGCGAGGTTCAGAGTGCTGGTAGAGCTCCCACCCTGCCGCATGAGAAATACTGTAGAAGAAGGAAAGGCTAGGTATGGAAGAGAAGGATATCTAGTGGATATGGTAGTGATTGTTTAAGCCCTATCTCTGGAGGGAAGAATGAGGAGCTCTCATATGTAGCATTTGCTGGTTTCTGTGGTATAATTACTCCTGCCTTGGCCAATTTCAAGGTGCCAGCCCAAAGTCCCTGAAGGAGGAATTAGGAAGAGATGTACACAGTCAGCTGTGGCAGCTGGTAGGACCAGCCTCCAGCATGCCACTGAGTTCACCTTAATCTTCTCTGTATTTAAAAAAAAAAAAAAAAAAGGAAAGAAAAAATCTCTGTATATACGGTACATATGGTTATAGTCTGTGACATGGTGTAAGTTACTGTGTTTGGTCCATCAATAGTATTCTCCATAACAAATTAATTCTTAAAACACTCCCTTTTTCCAAGTATCATTTGGATTTCCATAAACCAGCTCAGCAAGAATGTTTTTTAATTTCATCTTTCATTTGAATAGCTTTGAAATTTTTTTCAAAGATCACAAGTATGCTTTAGTTAATAATGTACACATTTTCTGAAAAGAGGATGAAGCAAGTAGAAGATAATAATTCACTTTATATTTTTACATATATCTATATATTAGAATATATAGATTCTACTAATGTTAAATCATATTAGTATATGGTCTTCCCAGTGTGGTATTAACATGCTCATTTTACATTTCAGTATCTGAAATGGAAGAGGCCTCTAACTGAACATCTTTCCTTGGTACTAAAGTAGATCCATCTGCTTCACAGCTGCTTCTGATTACTTCACTAATTATTCAGAATGCCCAGGTGTTATGAAGTCGCACACCTAGATCATTCCAGTCCCCGGTCGAGCTTATCCTTTTTTTTTTCCTCTCTTTTCAGGTATCTGGCATAATTTCGTCCTTGCACTCCTTGGTATTTTAGCTCTTGTGCTCCTCCCTGTAATTCTCTTGCCATTTTACTACACTGGAGTCGGGGTGCTTATCACGGAAGTTGCTGAGGTAAATAATGAGGATTTTGTGGGGTGTTCATTTACCAGACTTCGTGGTATAACACTTAGCATTTTATATTAGGAACATATATTCAAGTTTTCATATGCAGAATGTTCAGTTTCTCCTGAAGAAATTACTATAATCCTTTTAAGTTGAGCAAAATGTTTTTTGAAGCCCATTGGCTTTTTAAAATTACTTAAAATTGTTTCTGTTCTGAGTTATAAAGAGAGTATCAAGATTTTCTGCCTGTACTTTGTTGATAAAATGCATCATTTGCCTTTACTGTTTATTTTTATAACTGTGGTTTTGAGTCACATGTCCTTAGTCCTAAGTAAAAAGATTGAAACCGATGGCCAGAACATTTCATAGGAGTTTAAGTTACTTTCTTCAACTCTTCATTTCACTGCCTTAGGCAATAATTACTACAATGGCATCAAGTCTTCTATTCAGACCTTCGGAAGAGGAAAATTACCTTTGTGAGTCCCTGGCTCACATGTTCATTGTGCTGATGGTATTGTCTGCATATTTGGGAGTGTGTTTAGATAAGGACTTGTCTTATAATTTTATCCACTGAGGGTATACAAGATAACGAAGGCATTCTGATGACTACTTTCACAAAAAATTTTAACAGTTTGGGAAAAACTTTATCATTTTAATCTTGATAGTTGGCAAGTGGGTTTTTTTTTTTTTCAGTAATGAAAAATTCGGAATCTTGGAAAAGTAGGAAAACTGTTAGGTATTTTATTAATGTTCCAGGACTATGTATCTTGGATTCAAAGCCGGCTTATTTTTTGCATTAGTGAAAATATTGTACCTAAGTAGCTCAGTGTCTTTATTATTTGGTCAGATTAATCATAGCTTGTCTTCATACGTTATCTGATTTGGTTGTACCCTCTTCCCAAGGACTCACCTGCCGTTGGACCCAGAGGCCTTTTTGTGGGAGACCTTGTCACCCATCTACAGGATTGTCCTGTTACTAATGTACAAGATTGGAATGAATGTCTAGATACCATCGCCTTTGAGCCCCAAATTGGTTACTGTATTAGTGCATCAACCTTACAGCAGTTAAGCTTCCCAGTTAGAGGTGTGTATATTTCTTCAGTATAATATAATGCTTCAAGCAACAGTACTTGCCATTCATCAATTCTTAGACCATGTCTGTGGATTTATTTTGTTCTAATTTCTTTAAAGCAAATCAGTAAAGTACTAGTAGGCCCAAACTAGGAAATTTTCTTCTTGGTAAGTTGGGTACTAATATTTTTAATTGTTACTGAATTTCTAACTAATTTCATAATATTATATTTGACTTTTAGGACTTTGGTGTCTGATTCTTTCTTCATTTAGAAGAACTTGTGTTAAGTCAGCACTCAAGCTCAACCATAACCAATTAACTAAATTCCAGTAATTAAATACCCCCATGCCGTATGGGTGGTATCATATCCAAAGCTATTTGGGATAGAGTTATGTTATGTGGCAGGCATCTAGAGGAAATCATTTTGGCATCCAAAAATACACTCTGAAGTCAGATCTTTTGTTCTGTGTAGGAAGTGACAAGGTGAAACAAGTTTATTCTCAGGCTGCCAGATTTATTTTGAATTCTTTCAGCTCTGAAAAAGCAGCCTCCCAAGTCTTTATACAAAATCATGGGGCCCAGATTATCGTCAGTGTTGAAAAACACAAATTTTGTTCACAGACTATATTTTTAAGTTAAGAAATACCCTGGATGCTTGTCCACATCTACTTGGGGCTAGGAAATATAAATAATCAAGAACAACTTAAGTACTGTGTGCAAGAATGGCAGAGTAGGAGGAACTGATTTTTAAATTTTTTTCAAGTGTAATCTTCCATGTATAATCCAATCTTAAGAACTTTCATTACTGTACAAAGTTGTCAAACATACATAAAAGTCAAGAAAGTAGTATGGGGGTGCCGGGCTGGCTCAGTTGAGGGGGCATGCAACTCTTGATCTTGGTCAGGGTTGTAAGTTGGAGCCCCACATTAGGTGTAGAGATTACTTAAATAAATAAAACTTTCAAAAAAGGAAAAGAAAAAAAAAGTAGTATAAATGAAACCTCCTGCATCCTTCTCCCAGCTTCAGCAATTATCAGCATTTTGCCAGCTTTTTTTTTTTTATCTAATTAGCCCACTTTTGAGGGGAGTATTTTAAAGCACATCCCAGGCATCGTATCATTTCCTCCACGAACTTTAGCATGTCTTTAATATATGATGACTTTTTAAACATGACCATAGTGCTGTTAGTCACACCTAAGAAAATTAACACCAATTTGTAAGAACTAGTTAGCATTCACTTTTTCCTAATTGTTTTTTTTATAGTTGGTTTAGGTTGAATGGTATGCCCTTTAAGTGTCTTTGAACTTGGAACAGTTCCCCCTCTTGGGGGGGATATCATTTAAGAAACAGTCATTTGTTTTGTCAAATTGCCCGTATTCTGGATTTGTCTGGCTCTGTGTTATCCTTATGATGTTGTTAATATGTTCAGGTATCTCCCAAATCTCCTATAAATGGTCATTAGGTTTAGAGGCTTGCTTAAATTCTGGATCCAGAAGGGGGTGGAAATATTTTTGAGGGGGTGAAATATTTTTTTGAGGGGGTGAAAATATTTCATAGTTGTTGCTCACTACTTCCTATTGCATCATGTCCGGAGGCACATAGTGTTACACCCTGTGGTAATGTTAACATTGTTCAGTGGGCTAACCTGATTCTTGAAGGTTGAAAACTATAGTTATCAGTTTTTCTTGTTCTCAAGAACCATTTACCATCTTCCCAAACATTTCAGATGACACAAGGTTGGTATATGTCCTATAATGCATTCTTCTCTGAGAAAAATGATACATTATCTCATACTTCTTAAGTCCTTTATCATTTTCCTCCCAATTTCTTTAAATTTGATATAATTTCTATTGAATTACAAAAGCCAAACTGACACAGTAATCAAGTCAAGTTCTTTCTAGTAGAACTGTTTTATTTAGGGTAACTGCATTTCAGAAATTTAAGGTATTGTCCTTTTCCTGTCAGACAGAATAGAAATGAAAATCTTCCCTGAAATACTCTGAAGCCCTTATTAACTTTTTGAGTATTTCACTTTTGTGGGTCATATGCTGTATTTTGGAGATGTTTGTGTAAAAACCTAAAGCAGTGATTATTCTTTCCACACTAATAAAAAAAATCAGTCCCAAAATAATTCTTCAGTATCCATTTTATCTCCTTAGAAGTGACTGTATTAGGATACAGGTTGATTCTACATGATGACTGTGTCTGATAAACCTTTACCTCTATTTAACCATTTTAAAATGGAGTACATATATTTAGCTAGCTTATAGGAATCCTAATGACTGTAAATGTAACTTCAAATAAATACCAGATTAATTTTTAATGGCAGACTTGACCACTGGGGCTGTGGACATTTTTAAGAAAGCTATGGATTAATAGTATTTTACATGTATCTAGATATGGCTTTTTATCCTTCATTATAAACATTGGGGAAACATACAGCTAAATATGGTAATACAAAGTGGCCAATAATCCAAAAGTGATAATTTGTGTTCATTTTGGAGTGGAATTTAGTATACATAATTAAAATTCTAGGAATTTACACCACTGCAGAAAAATAAAGCCACCTTAAAGATCTGACCCTGGAAGTGCATGTAAGCTGCCCCAACCAGTCATATCTGGCCACTTACCTCTCACAGTATATTATTAAATTTTTTAAAATATAATCAAGCAGACTGGATGTTCTTCTTAAAAGTATTAACAAATAGAGTTCTGTCAAGTTAGAAAAATGTGGTTAATCTACCTTATGACTTAAATTGTTTAGACCTACTTTTTCTTCTGTTAATCCTTTCCTTTTTTCTCTTTCCTGAAAGCATTGTCTTGAGTAAGAAAGGCTATACTAAACAAGTCCACCATTTGAACTACATTTTCAGGATCATGAGATTGAAAACTAAAGGCGACTGGGTGGCTCAGTTGCTTCATAAGTGGCTGCCTTCAGCTCACGTTATGATCCCAGGGTCTTGGGATCAAGTCCCACATCGGGCTCCTTACTCAGTGGGGGAGCCTGCTTCTTCCTATCCCTCTGCCCCTTCCGCTGCTTGTGTGCTCTCTCTCTCTCTCTCTCTCTCTCTCTTTGTCAAATAAATAAATAAAATCTATTTTTAACAAACAGCAACTGCTCCCTAAAATGAAGCTTTGAGCTCAGATTCAGACAGCCCCCTTGAATAGCCTGCATTCCTATTCAGAGGAGGCAAGAGTATATCCCTGTAACTGCCTGGCAATGAGAATATTGTCCTGTCCTACATATCTTTACCTCAAGTGAGAAAAGACCCTTCCCCACCTGGTATAAGATAATAAGAGGAAAATTTCAGAAAGACTTTCCATATATTTTGAGTACCTAGATTGTTTTTATGCCTGAATCTTCTTTAATGTTTGGAGTAAAGTATCTATTTTTCCATTGTGAACATCAAGTTATGATCCAAAGGTTTTTTTGCTATCCTAAACTGAAGAGATAATGTGTGTGTGTGCATGTGGCTGTGTGTGTATGTTTATAATTTTTTAACTACTGGTTACTAGGTGATGCTGATAAAAATTCTACTGTGGAACTAAGAATAAATAACTAGGCTTGCCTCCCTATGTTGGAGCCCTAACTACATTTATATATTTAATGTAAGAAAATTGTTCAGTTCATTTTAGTAATATAGAAAGTAGTAGGGGGGTGCCTAGGTGGCTCAGTGGGTTAAAGCCTCTGCCTTCGGCTCAGGTCATGATCCCAGGATCCTGGGATCGAGCCTCACATCGGGCTCTCTGCTCCACAGAGAGCCTGCTTCCTCCTCTCTCTGCCTGCCTCCCTGCCTACTTGTGATATCTCTCTCTCTCTCTCTCTCTCTCTCTCTGTCAAATAAATAAAACCTTAAAAAAAAAAAAAAGAAAGTAGTAGGGACCGTGAACTGTAGATTGAAAAAGTCTCTTCTTTCCAGTCTTATTCTAAAATTAACCTCTGGTAGGGTACTTGGCTGGCTCAGCCAGTGGAGCGTGCAACTCTCAATCTCAGGGTTGTTAAGTTTGAGCCCCACATTAGGTGTAGAGATTACTTTTTAAAAAAAAGAATTAAAAATATAATAAAATAAGCCTCTGGTCTAGACTAGTCTTTAGAGGCTAGACTATGTCAACAACTGTGTTGAGGCCCATCTTAGGGTATATTTAGAGTATGCAGATTCTCCCTGTAGTAGAATTCTGCCACTGATCTGTTCTTGAATTACCTAATTGTCTCCCAGACTGAGGAGATTTAAGGGACAATTCTAATCATCTAGAGTTAAATTCAACCTATGAATGCCTCCGGGGCCTCTCATTGCAGTCTTGAATTCTCGTTCTAAAGTAGAATTAGATTGGCCTCTCATCCTTAATAAAACTATGTACATTAATGTGAAAATTGTCTGTGGCATCCCTATGTTATAGGTTAAGAAATGAGTTACAAAAATTGGCTTAGCAACTTGTCCTTAAATGTGACCCAGTAGAAAAGATTATAAAATAGTTTTTAAAACTACACCTTCTTTTAATGGATAAACAGAAATATCAAATTTACTTCTCAAATCACAACAAAATATTTAACTCTTTATTGGAAAATTATGTTTGTCAGGAGGTATTTAAACTTGTCAGGATGGCCACAGCCATGGATTTATGTTTTGGTTGGAATAATCACCATAGGAAGAAGTCATAACATAGAGGTTGCAAATTGGTGATAGCCCAGAGGCCAAAGCCAACCTCAACAGATACATTTGGTTTGGCCTGTGTGGTATTTTTTTAATATGAATATTAATTAGATGCCAATGATTAAAATTCAAGAGGTTTCACGTGAAAGTACAGATTTCAGATTTCTTTTGGAATAAAATAGATGATCTGTGAAGTCAGGGCCCCAGGTTGAGTAGCCTAGCTGCTAACCCCTTAAAACAGGATGTATGTTTCCTAATTCATCACAGTCCCAACACTTCCTATTTTTTCCAAACACTATGCACTTCATTTATTTGCTTCCTGGTTGGCCCCTTTAAGCATTTGTGTTACCAGACATGCTGTATCAAAAGTGATATCAGATTCTTGACTTTCAATTCTGTATTGCATACATTCCTCCAAGAAAAGTTAGTGGTCAAGCATCAGATGTAAATTTTGTAAATAATTACTAAAACAAAGGCAAATGGCATAGAACATCATTTATGTAGTCAATGTATATTGAGTTATGTACCTTATGTAAGATTGAGAAATTTTTTTCTCAAGGAGCTCAATCTAGTCAAGGATATAGACCATGTGATAGGGATTAAGGAGTTTACTTGTGATGAGCACTGGGTGAGGTATGGAAGTGTTGAATCACTATATTATACCCGAAACGAATATTACACCGTATATTAATCAATTGGAATTTAAATAAAAACTTTTTTAAAAAAGAAGCAGACCATAGCCATATTATTACAGTACAAGGTTAACTGTGGGTAATGACAGGAATTGGTGGAGTTATGGGAATTGGTGGCAATCAGTCTTGACTGAGAAGAGGAGGGCAGATTTCATAGCAGCGGCCCTTGAGTTGGGCCTCAGCAGTGAGTTTAATTTCAGGAGGCCAAGATAGAAAGGAACCTCGTAACCATAGACTAGAAAATGGTCAGGGAACTGCTGGTAACTTGGTTCAGCAAGTTAATGGTATGAGATAAGATGATAAAAGAAGTCTCTAGTCTCTCTATTTTAGTCTATGGAATTTAGCATTATTTGGGAGCAGTGCAATCTTTGGAAGTTTTGGATTAGATGAGTTGGAGTCTCATAGTTCTACATTGGAAGGTTAATCTGAAGCATTCAGTATGTAGGAAAGGCTTGCATGTGTTGGCTAGCTGATGAGCAAACAAGACTTACTAGGATTCTTCAAATGGGTCACATGAGAGGAAATAAAATCTATACTCAAATGGGAATATATAGGGAGAAAAATAATAAAGAGGTTAAAATTGGTGGGACTTGGCAACTAATCAGAGAGAACATTGAAATTGTAGCCTGAATTGGTAAAAAATAAAAAATCCTAAACAACTTTTTACCTTATACTTTACAGTTAGGGCTGATGAATGATTATAGGCACAGGTTTGTCTGTGCCATTAGATAGTCACAGTTTGCTTTCATATTTCAAAGACAATTCATCATCCCAAATTTAAATACCTATTCAATCATGCTAAGAAAACAAATCAGAACTACCCACACAGCCAAGCAATGCAGAGGAGAAACTGATTTGTCAGCTATTTTTGTCATCTCTGTTTTGTTCTTCGTTTTATGTTGGCCAAGGAAAGATGGTGACAGTCTAACCAATACAAGATGTCTTTTTTTCCTTTCTTTTTTAAGTAGGATCCCCACTGGGTGTGGAGCCCAGTGCAGGGCTGAACTCTCGACCCTGAGATCAAGACCTGAGCTGAGATCAGGTGTCAGACACTTAATGGACTGAGTCACCCAGGCACCCCTCAAATAACCTAGTTTTTAAAAAAAAAAAACTGTTTTGGGGTGTCTGGCTGGCTCAGTAGTAGAGCATCTGACTCTTGAGCTCAGGGTCAGGAGTTCAAGCCAACCGTTGGGTATAGAGATCACTTAAATAAATAAAACTTTAAAAAAAAAACCCTTAAACGCAAACAACTGATGGCAAAAATAGAAAATCCTTATAAAATCACATTGCATCTCAACTAAGATTTTCATGCCAGTGCTCCTGAAGACACTCTTGTAATAGAACAACTTCCTGTGGACTGGAAAAATGTACTTTTTTTTTTTTTTTTTGGTAGTTCTGTGGTAACTTTGCTCTTGAGTCTGTCTTCCTCAGCACCTCTGAGCATGGTAGTGCGAATATAAGATTCTAAGTTTAATTGGTCCCTGCTGCACATCGATTTATGCTTTACAAGTTTGATATGCTGAATACAGGAAACCTTCCAAAATAAATACATGGAAATAATTTTTTATCCCACCTGTATCAATGACTTAGTTTTCTTATTCTGCCCTAGATACAAATGAGGCAGTCTAGCAAAGAACTTTTAAAAATAAATGAATAATGGGAATAAAAAGTTGCCCTGTTTCCATTGTCTTCCAAAAATGGTAACTGGATTACTGGTAGGCAGTCAAATATTGCACATCTCTGCGGTCAAGTTGGGCTGCCCTGATTTTATGAGGAAAGCCCCAAGGTAAGCATGGAGGTAAGATAGATATTTGCTATAATAGGGATTTTAGGGATAAGAGCCTCTTAGGCATCCTCTCGCCCATTCTGCTAACACTACAATGCAGGAACTCAGTAGTAATCCTAGATCAGTAGCATTACAGCTGCTAATAGTGACTCAATATATATTTGTGCTTGACCTGCTGGAGTTATTGCAAAACCTGCTGAGACCCTGGAACTCCAGCTTTATTTGAGGTAAGTTTATGTGAGGACAGTTAATCTAGGGTAAGTACTGCTTTTTTTTAAATTTATTTATTTGACAGAGAGAGAGATCACAACTAGGCAGAGAGGCAGGCAGAGAGAGAGGGGAGGCAGGCTCCCCGCTGAGCAGAGAACCTGATTCGGGGCTCCATCCCAGGACCCTGAGATCATGACCTGAGCCGAAGGCAGAGGCTTAACCCACTGAGCCACCCAGGCGCCCCTATAGTACTGCTTCTTGATTCCAAACTGGGCGCATTTCTTTTTGTAATATCATGTCCTTTTTTGTACCGTAAAGTCACTGCAGCAAGTAGCCTTTCAAACTGAACCCTCAATCACACAATTGTTTCCAAATTCATGTGCATTTTGTTTATAGTTTTTGTCTTGAAAGCAAAATATTTATTACAAATGTACTTCTGGGGGCGCCTGGGTGGCTCAGTCATTAAGCGTCTGCCTTCAGCTCAGGCCGTGATTCCAGGGACCTGGGATCGAGCCCCACATCGGGCTCCCTGCCCACAGGAAGCCTGCTTCTCCCTCTTCCACTCCCACTGCTTGTGTTCCCTCTCCTGCTGTGTCTTTCTCTGTCAAATAAATAAGTAAAAAAATTTTTTTTAAATGTACTTCTGTATAACAGATTCTAAAAAATTATTTCTCTCCAGCATACAAACGGCTAGATGGTTCGACCGAATGTTGTAACAATCACAGCCTCACGGATGTGTGCTTTTCCTACAGAAATAACTTTAATAAGCGTTTGGTGAGTTGTCCCTTGCTTGTCTGATACAGTCTTTACTAAATAATCATATAGATCTAAAATGGAATCTCTAAAAACTTTTCCCTTTTGCTTCGTGTTGTTTTATTAACATTTCTACATTTCACTTGTCACATTTCAACTGAGACTTTTCAACAATTTACAGGTGTGATACCTTATTTGGCCAAAGTGGAATATTTGAATCTAATTTATAGTAGGTGCATATGAATGGCATTTCTTCTGTGTGAATTTGTTCCTTATATTCTCTGTGACATAAAAGATATTAAAAACCTGTAACTTTCTTGTTTTCTTGTTAGTAAATTATTTTTAGTATTGACTAATTAATATTTTGTTCATAGCACACATGCTTACCTGCCCGGAAAGCAGTTGAAGCCACGCAAGTTTGTAGAACCAATAAAGATTGTAAAAAAAGTTCAAGTTCAAGTTTCTGTATAATACCTTCTTTGGAAACTCATACTCGCTTAATAAAAGTGAAACATCCACCTCAAATTGATATGTTGTATGTAGGCCATCCACTGCACCTTCACTACACAGGTGAGTGTTTATTGTGGTCGACCCCCAAAATCATTAAGATGGTATATATTCTCCATGGCAGAAACTCAGTACAAATCCTATGTTTATTTTATTTATTATAAATGTGACCACTTTTCAAAGTCTTATTGACTTGTTCTTAAGTGTTGTATGAAATTTACCATTAGGAAAATAATCTGAATTTATGAAGCAAGATGGAGCTGATTCCCATGTCTGCCTATAGAGAGTAATGTATTTTCTTTTCACCACCATTTATTCCCAAGTCACATAGGTGCTCTCTCAAATGTTCTCTGAGAGCTTATTACATCTCTCCAAACTCCCAAAACAGTGGCAAGAGCAACATATCCCAGAGAATCCAGGAGTCATTGTGTTAAGACTATAATTTGTGTATAACACATGAATTTTATATGAATATAATTTTCAAAACTGGGCCAGCATAATTGTTTCAACAGTGGCTACATGATTGGACGAAATAGATAGCTTCTCCATATGGCTGAAGATCATATGATCCAACTCGTTTTGTTGTTTTTTTATAACAATTGTATTGAAATATAATTCACATACCATGTATTTGACCCTTTTAGGGTGTACAATTGAAGAGTTTTTAATATATTCAGAGTTGTGTCACCATCACCACAATCTAGGTCTAGAATATTTTCATCACCCCAAAAAGAAACCCCATATCCATTAAGCAGTCAGTTCTCATTTCTTCCCAACCCCGTCCCCCACCTCTTGGCAACCACTAATCTACTTTCTATAAGTTTGCCTGTTCTGCACATTTCATATAAGTAGAATATTTTGTGACTGACTTCTCTCACTTAGTGTAATGTATTTAAGGTTCATCCATGGTATAGCAGGCGTCAGTATGCCCTTCCTTTTTATGGCCAAATATTCCATTCTGCGGACATACCACATTCTCTATCCATTCCTCAGTTGATGAATATGTAGGTTTTATGTTACTCTTTAAAACGCTCTCCCATTGCTTCATAGTCATATTCTGAGTTACAACCTGGGTCATTCTTTTTAATTAATAGAATTAATATGATTTTAAGGTTATACCTCTTTGAAGGATAAGGACTCTTGATAAATTCTGCCATAGTTTTTAAGTCAGCCTCTGTATTTGGTAGTCATACTTGGTATACAGTCGAATGTAAGTACACACTGGGACATGAATTTCTATATTCCACTATATTTATTAGGTGTTCTAGAATAATTGTTTTATATGTGGCATATAGGCTGCCTGCATATGTTTGGGAAGGGCTTTCTCAACCAATTTAATAGACTAGCCTAATTTTTTACCATATGGAAAAATTTTTATAATACTGTTACTTACCTGTATGAACAATATTCATTATCCCTTATTTTTCTTTTTTAGTGAGCATCACCAGTTTTATCCCACGTTTCAACTTTCTAAGCATAGATCTGCCTGTGGTTGTGGAGACATTTGTCAAGTATCCTTTCTGGCGTGAAGAATGTTTTTAAAAGTGTTACTTGGAACATGATCAGGCTTACCTTGAATAGAGCATGCACGCACCTTATAATATCGATTGATTGCTAACAATTAAAAAGGAGACTTTAAAGTTGAAAAAGATCAAATTGTAACTAGGAGGGAAGAAGTCACAGGAGAGAGAGAGATCGGGGAAGGAAAAAAGTTAAGATAGGGAAGAAAAGGAACCGAGACTATAAATTGAGAGTTGAGAGTTGAATTTACTGATCTAAGACCCCTTAGTAAGTTTATAAAGATTGAAAGCTTCAATTTCTACCACAGTGACGAATTCTGCCCCGTTAACTCTGACTAAATGGAGGAATGAGTAAGGGAGCCCGAACTGGTTTCCACTATCAAAATAGCAATTCAGAGGACAATATCTTGAGTTCTTCAGCATATTTTGTTTGAATATAAAACTTGATTTTTTAAATCCATCATTATGAAGAATCTGAACAAACCGAGCAGTTTGTAAGGGTTCTTTCTTTTTGTCACTTTTTTAAAACTTTCTAGATTTTAAGTTTATATCTAAGTATGGATCTTTTTTTTTCAATTCCATTATAGTTAACATTACAGTGTTACATCAGTTTCATGTGCACAATACATATTTTTGTCGCTTTTAAATCATCTTCATTTCTTTCAATAATTTGCAGAAATGTGAAAGGGAAAACAAATGAGCAGTTACTGGAAAATATGTACAATCAAGATTGTACCTTGTAGATTGTACCTTTGTCTCAGAGATTTATGATAGACATAACCTTATAGATGATAATAAAATAGTTATGTTATAGTTATATTTACTCTATCACCTCATAGATAATAGTAAAATAGAGTTGAAGGGGCCAAAATCTTTATGTTTCCTAAGATAAGTTAGTACTTTGTAAGGATCAAAAAATGATTTTCCCCATATTTCTAATTGCTTCCACATTCCTTTCCCTCCTTGTGTCATTAGAAGATTACAAAGACTCAGTCTTCCTCTGAGTTTGTTACAGATTGCTTTAGTTTGCAAATGGTTGGCCTTTATTTTTCTAGTCAAGGTTTTTGAGCTTTAAAATAATATAAATAATTTGTTTGAAATAGTAGAGATCTGGATTGCCTGGGTGGCTGTCAGTTGAGCAGCCAGCTCTTGGTTTTGCCTCAAGTCATTGTCTCAGGGTTGTGGGATCGAACCCCTCATGGGGCTCCTTGCTCAGTGAGAAGTCTGCTTCAGGATTCTCTCTCTCTCCCCATCTGCCCCTCCCCCTTGCTCACCCACGTTCTCTCTCTCTCTCTCTCAAATAAATCTTTTAAAAAATAAATAAGTAAATACCAGGATCTAAGAAGGAATATCCTGTACTAGGGGCAGAAATTTAAAGAAAGTAGGGAAGTCAAGTATAATCTCAAATGTAGTCCTAGTAAAATATCTTCTTCTGATTACTAAATATGTGTTTTCCACTCAGACTTCACAGTCAGCTCCTTAACTCATTTTAACCAGGTACCTGATTTCTCTGTCAGGAGCTCTGGCTATTGTTAATGCAGTGCCCTGCTTTGCCTTGGATGGTCAGTGGATTTTAAACTCTTTCCTAGATGCTACCCTTACCTCAGTGATTGGAGACAATGACATCAAAGATCTGATAGGATTTTTCATCTTGCTTGGTGGTAGTGTACTTCTGGCTGCCAACGTGACCCTGGGACTCTGGATGGTTACAGCACGGTAATGTTTGCACTCATCTTGCAGAATGATACTTTATATGAAAGAGAAAGCATTTCCTTAAAATCGCATTTTAACCAACAACTTTAAGCTCCTCCTGTATCAGAATATCCAAACTCTGGAATGGGGGATAAACAGAAGAAATGAAAGGCATAGTCCCTGACCACATCCTACTTTTAAAGACTGAACTTAACAAATTTCAGATGCTTGTGAAACAATTTCTAAACAAGTGAAAATTCATATTAAACCATTATGTGTGACTACATATCATACTGCAGTAGTGTAAAGGAGAAGAGAATTGGGTGAAATTAATTGGGGCAAACTTTCTGAAAAAGCATCATTAACCCAGATTTGAAGAAGACCAGACTCTGGCCAAGTGGAAGGGTGAGCATTTCCTTGGCCTACCTCTCTTGTCTTTTTTCTTAGTTTGAAAAGTATTTTAAGATTTATTGATATATTATTTTGTACTCTGACAACTGAGGTCTGATTACAATTAATAAAATTCTATAAAAGCATCTGCTGACATGGAAGGGAAAATCTTTGTTAAATGGTACCAAATAAGGGAACAAAGTAGGAGGTAGGGCTTACAATGACACATGCTTTGCCCTACAAGAGTTGCCTCTTTGATAAAATGTCCCCGTACGTACCCTCATAAAGCAGCACTGTGTTCTGACATTCAGAGTGAGCTACAAGAAGTCTCTTCCACTTGCAGCATGTGAGCTGAGAAAGTTAAAGTTTAAGTGTCAGAACTGAGCCTGGTCTTCTAACAGATCACGAGACAGATCTGCTGCAGTCCTGGTTACCATTCTCCACAAAGCTTTGAAGCTCAGAACCCTTTCAGGGTAGACGTTTTCTCTTGTGCTGCTGGGGTTATCTGGGGCCTAGGTCCTGGGTTCCTGCCTTCAAGGAGCAACTACCTTAAGCTCTCAACCATACTCTGTCCTCACCAGCATCTTCCATGTTTCTCTGTATTGACTGTAAACACCCAGTCCTTGCTTTCCATCTTTCTCCTAAGCTACCTCTATGGGTCCACGGAAGACTTGGTAGTACAGTGAGAATGGCTACACATGAGTACAGATGTGGATTTGCCAGAGCCTGGGAACTGACTCTTGAGCCCAAAAGAGCCCTGAGTAGTTCAAGGTCTTTTGGACTGGAGCTGGAACCCTGGAAGACCCAGGAAGTCAACATGCCACTGTGAAGCTCTTGGTCTTCTAAGTGTCTGAGCGTACTGTTCTTTGTTGAAAAATACGTGCTTCCTTCATACACTCAAGAACATTAACAGCTGTGTACCCAACTTTTTCACTAAGTGAGGCATTCCATGGGGTTCACCTTTTTCTGATTATTGAGCTGCTCTTCAGCAATAAAGGTTTTTAATTTTTAAGTTCTTTAGACTGTATTGCAAGTTTGCCTGCCTTCTTAAATAGAAATTATTTATTGAGTATACTGTTAAGATTTTATGAATGACTTGATGTCATCAGTTATTACCACTACTAAAATCATACAAGTTATTCTTTTATCCCAGGAAAAAGGTGGTTGTTGTATTCTTAGGTAGATAGTCATTCAGGATTAAAGTCTGTTAGCAGAGAGCTCAGACCAGTTTAGATAGTAGAACTTGGAGAATACCATGAAATACTTGCATAATTAATTTGATAACATGAACTATGCAGTTTACTAATGAACATATTGTATATGTGCAGGTCAGTTTTTTAAAACAAAAAAATTTTAATAGAGGAAATCCTACCCATTAACTTCTTTTTCTGGGTGGGAAAAAAAAACAACAGCTACAACCAAACACCTCATTTTCTTGTAGCATTTGAACATCTTGGTCTCTTGCTCTATAGGGTCGGGATTTGAGAACCACTCTTATTAGGATAATGAGCAAATCAGTTGCATTTGCATAGAAATGGCCTCATCGTGTAAGAAAGGAAATATTATCTGCTGTCTCTTCAGCTTGATTGTGGGCACTTCTAGAGCAAAGACCATGCCATACTCAGCTTTGCATCCCTGGCACAGTGCATGAGACATCATAAATACTTAATAAACGTGGTCGAATGAATGATGAATACTGGTATTTATGGATTAGAAAAGCATGTTTCTATTTAAGTAAGCTATGAATAGTATTATTGAATATTTACTGTAAATATATGTTAACAACAAAATAACCTGGAAGGTCTTTGTGTCCCTAGTATATTATCATCTTTATGAAAATAACCCATTTTGGTTAATGTAGAGCAATTAGAAAAATGAATTACTTTGAGGATTTGAAAAAAATGTGCTTTCTGTGTTGTCACGTCGTTCAATAGTACTTATTTTCAGTGTTCTACTCTACATTGTTTACATTTTCCACAGTTTTTTAAATCACCTACAATGTGTAAAGAACGTATATATTCTTTTCATCTCAGTTGGAAAAGACATGGTTTAAACTTGACCTTTTGATAATCATTCTTATAGGGTCATTGTCATCTATTCTAACAGCAAATTTTAAACAGGCACTTCATGGATACATGGCTCTCCGTCATCAGTTTGTCCTGTGGTATTTATTGAATGTCCACATACTAATTAATGGTGCACAGGTATTTTTTTCTACGGATCTTTCTTTCAACTATGCTGTAATTCATTCTTAGTATTCAAGTTGAAGATACCATAGCCACTGGCATTTGATGTTTAGCAATAAAAGAATAAATGTGTACCAGCACTCTGTGTTTTATCATATCTATGTGTTGTCTTTTTAAAAAAAAAAAAAACGTGTTCTTTTCTACCAAAAGTGTTCCCTTTACATACAGTGTGATCTTCGTTTTTAAATTCTTGTTTCTAAAAGCAACCTTCAGTTTCCACTCAGGCAGTCCTTATATGAAAATTGTTGCGGGCCACAGAAAGAAGTCTTTTTTTTTTTTTTAAAGATTTTATTTATTTATTTGACAGAGATCACAAGTAGATGGAGAGGCAGGCAGAGAGAGAGAGAGAGGGAAGCAGGCTCCCTGCTGAGCAGAGAGCCCGATGCGGGACTCCATCCCAGGGACCTGAGATCATGACCTGAGCCAAAGGCAGCGGCTTAACCCACTGAGCCACCCAGGCGCCCCAGAAAGAAGTCTTAAAAAAAAAAAAAAAGATTGTATTTATTCGAGAGAAAAAGATAGCAAGAGAGAGCATAAGTGGGGAGAGGAAGAAGCAGGTTCCCAGCCGAGGAAGGAGCCTGATGTGGGACCCAATCCTAAGACCCTGGGATCATGATCTGAGCCGAAGGTGGACACTTAACTAACTGAGCCACCCAGGCACCTAAAAGAAGTCTTTTTTAAATAAGATTCCTGTGCTCCCACTACTGCTTTGGAGGACTGTCACGTTTCCTTTCAGTAGTGTCCAACAGAAGTCTTCTCTATTTCTTAGGAATTCATGGAAATGTATTGCAACTCTGACATTTGGTTCATCTTGAACTTTTGCTCTAGCACTCCCTCCCTTGTCCACAGTGCCAGCCTCAATCTCTCTCTCCCTCTCTTCCTCTCTCTCCCCCTCCCCACTCTCTCTCACTTTCCCTCTCTACACCCCCCACACACACACACATGGGCACACATTCTCTTTCTAGATTACCTAAAGGCCAGATAAAATAGGCTGGAAATTTAGCCCAAATCCTGATTGGCTGGCATCATTCCACTCCTTTTTGCCTCTGATCCCATTCTGCTACAGTTAAGAGCCACAAGACTAGATGACTGATTATCTAAACCACTTTTTTTAACAGCTTAAGATAGAATTAAATATTATAAAATTTACCTGTTTAATATGTACAATTCACTGGGTAAACTACTTTTCTTTCAATGACTACTCAAAAAACAATAGTATACATAGACTTTAGTATAAACTAACTTTTAAGCAAATGAACATGTGATAAAACACTGGGAAGTAAGAAAATGTTTCATTTATTTCACAGCTTTTAATTCGCAAGTGGTTTTCAATACTAGAATAGAGTTTAAATAAATCATTTTTAAGGTTAAGCATGTAAAGGGGTGCCTGGCTAGCTCAGTCAGTAGAGCATGCAGCTCTTGATCTCAGAGTTATGAGTTCAAGTCCCATATTGGGTGTAGAGATTACTTAATAAAGCATGTGAAGGTGCCTTGGGTGGCTCAGTCGGTTAAGCATCTGACTTTTGATTTTGACTCAGGTCATGACTCAAGGCTATGAGATTGAACCCCGTGTCAGTCTCTATGCTGGGTGTGGAGCTTGCTTAAGATTCTATCTCCCTCTCCCTCTGCCCTTCCCCCTGCTAAAAAAAAAAAAAAAAAGATAAAGCATATGGATATATTTTCTTTGAGACAATACAGTTTTTTTTAAATATATATTTTTTTAATTTGACAGATCACAAGTAGGCAGAGAGGTGGGCAGGGGGTGGGGGCGGGGAGTCAGGCTCCCTGCTGAGCAGAGAGCCCAACGTGGGGCTCCATCCCAGGACCCTGAGACCATGACCTGGGCCAAAGGCAGAGGCTTAACCCACTGAGCCACCCAGGCACCCCGAGATAATACACCTTTTTAATCAGTGTATTTGCAAGCTCCTCTTGGTGTTTTGGCCATATCTTAGTTTTATTTAGCTAAAGATTGATGGATATTCAATAATCATCCCTTCTTATTAACTGATCATTTCTCAGATTTTTCTGCTGATGTGCTCTTGACACTCTTCAGAAGAGAGAAAAACGGAGAAAGATCTAAGAGTAGAACCCTGTAATTGGCTGTCCATCCTACAAAATTGAAGTCTTGCTTTATCTTAAGTTTATGTAAATTTTGCACTCAGTCTAGTATATAAAACCAGTTCTCTTAAAGATACGAAACTCTAAACTGTGAAAGAATTAGATGCTAAGAATATTAATATTTTTCCATGTCTAAAACACATTGATAGAAGTAGTTTATAACAGCTGATCTGTAGACTAGTGACAGTCTATGATGGTGTTTTTGTCTATCTCTAGTGAAATGAGAAAAATATGTTAAATCTAATTACAAAATAAGGCAAATATATTTTTGTTTTCATAAGTTGCCTGCTACCCTTTATCAAGGAGTTCTCCTTTATTTAGATTATGGAAACATATACTTAAATTAACTTAGCACTTCTAGATTGCTCTGCAGAATGTCTAACTGACCCTCATCAGCAAGGCATGAGGGTTCCATGTTTCCCCCTGCCCTTACCTCCACCCGAATTGTCTGACTTTCATGTTCTCACAGATGTGTGCAAAATGTATTTACTTTTAATTGGCATTTCTCGATTAATATACTTGTTTAGCCACTTAGATTTTTCATTTTGCCAACTGCTTATTGATATCCTTTGCCGGGCTGTCCATTGAGTTTACTAAATTTTTCTTATTGATCCATAAGAATTTTTTGTATATTCTAGATTAGGAGTCAACAAATTGCAGCCTGCAGGCCAAATCCTGCTCACCACCTAGTTTTGTAAATAAGGATTTCTTAGAACATAGCCCCATTCAGGGGCACCTGGGTGGCTCAGTCATTTGAGCCTCTGACTCTTGACTTTAGCTCAGGCCATTATCTTGGGGTCTTGGGATTCAAGCCCCTCTTCAGTCTCTGCACTCAATGGGGAGTTTGCTGGAGATTCTGTCTCTCCCTCTGCCCTTCCCCTGCTCGCTCGCTCTCTCTTTCTCTCTCTCTGAAATAAATCAATATTTTTTAAAAAACACAGCTACATTCATTCATTTATATATTGTGTATGGCTCTGTTCATACTACAACAGCAGAGTTGAGCAGTTCCAACAAAGACCATATGACCTCCAAAGCCTAAAATATTTACTATCTAACTGTTTATAGAACAGCCCATGTTCTAGATATCAATCTCTTGTCCATCTTAGATGTTGCAAATAATTTTTCCATCTGTCACCCATTTATAAGTTTTATTCATGACGTTTTGTCACAGAACAAGTTTATCTTTAGTTTGATACAGTAAAATCCATTAATTTTTTGAGGCCTGTCCTTTCCCAAAGTCACAGTAATATTCTACAATTTCTTCTATTTATTTTAGAGTTGTACTTTCACAATGAGATTTTTGATTTCTACAATATATGGTGTGAGGTAGGAAATCCAGGTTCCAGGTTTATTTTTCTATGTAGCATGAACTATTTTTAAAAATAGATATAACAGTATTTTCCTTTTTAAGATTGTTAAAGCAGTTTACATGAAGTCCTTAATATGGTTCCTGGAATGTTCAAGATATTATATACTTAAATTACTTATTTTCATAACGCAGAATTATGACATAAATTTGCCTTGACATCCCTGATCACACAGTGTCAGATCCTGCCTCCTTTTGATATGCCTCCTTGGCTTCTACTGCCTTTGGGCTCGCTCTTGTTGTCCAGATGTCTTCCAGTCCTTGACCCTTTTAAATATTTCTTCCTCCAATCAAAATGAGCCAAAAATCATAATACTTAAGATGTTGGCTAAAGATTTTGCTCACTGAAACAATTCAAAATGACCTTTGTGTGTATGTGTACTGATAGTAACTTGGGCATTTAAACCTGCTCTTACCCAAACATTTTAACTCAGAAGGACGCACTGTGATGAACCAATATGAGAGAGAATTTGGGGTAGAATGGACTTTGAGGACTACATCAGATTAGAGAAAGCTGTCTACTCTGTGCACAGTTTAGGATATTATATTTCAAAATAAGCTATTTTTTTACATGTTCATTTTATTTTGCATTAATTAATTAGAAAAGAGGCTAAGCTTTCTTTTTTAATGTGTGTTCTTATGTAGGTTTTTAAATCCACATCATTTGTCCCTATTTCCCTGCAGTAATCATCACCTTCTTACTACTTTTCATTACTCAGGACTCACATTTGTTGCAAGGGTTTACAAATACATTTGACCATACCTTACCTTCTTTTATAGGTCCCTGACTTTAATACTTTATTCCTAGCATTGTTTTCTTCCCTTTCAGTCACTTTGTTTCCCTCCTTTAATGGCTTCTAATTTTCTTTCTAGGCTGTATGTATCACCAGAAATCCACAATGGGAAGTGGGTAGCACTTTGCAATTTACAGAATGTTCACTTCTCCAGTCCAGGGCATCCCCTTTTTTGTTACAGAAATACCTGGGAAAAAGAAGTTGATAATCAGGAATTTGCTTGGAGAGCATAGAATTGGAACAGGAGGGAGATAATGTGATTCCTTTGGCCTTTATAGAAAGACAATTTTCTTACTAAAAAAGAAATACACATTTGTTATAGAAAACATCTTAAATTGTAATTGGAAAAATAGGATTATATTATAGATTAACTGGTAAACTGCTTTTTAAACTTTATCATGTATTATAAACAATTTTCAATGTTATTAATACTCTAGTGTTATTTAAATGGATATATAATATTGCAGCATTAAATGTACCATATTTTTTTCTTTTTTTTTGTTTTTAAAGTAAGGTCTACGCCCACCATAGGGCTTAAACTCACAACCCTGAGATCAAGAGTCACATGCTCTGCCAACTGAGCCAGCCAGGCACCCCTGAATATGGCATAATTAACCAACCCCTGTTATTTCCAGTTTTGCAGTGTTATAAACAAAGCAGGGAGGGATATACTTATAACTGAGTCTTTTTGCATATCTATGATTTTTTTGGATAATTCTAGAAACTCTTATGATAATCTTAAAAGACAAATTACTGTCTCAAAATGTGAATGTTTTATATATACACATTGCCTTGTTGCGTTTACAT